CAATTAGTCGGCTAAAACAGACCATCAACAGTCCACAATACCAACAAAAAAGGTTTGAATACAGTTACTGTGTTAAGGAATACAGTCGCTTAACAGTAGGGCAGCTGAACCGTTCATCAGTCGAACAAACAACAGTAGGGTAGCCGAACAATCATCAAACAGTTCAGCAAACAATAGGCATCCGAACAGACAAGGATGATAGTACCTCTTTTAGTTTCTGATGATAGTCTCCCTTATGGTAAACCAGAACTCCTTGACTGTAAACCAGAGCTCCTTCTACAAATCCTCAAACAATAGGCAGCCGAACAGAAGATNAGGAGAAGAGAGAAGAGAGGTGAGTCGAGTGATTGAAAGCCCTCCAGAACTTAGGGGGCGAAAGAATGATTTTATTATTTATACTAGTACAGTCGAACAATATAAATAGAGGAGAAATTACAACAGTACCCTTATGGTACTAAACCTGAATACATAAACAACTGTCAACATTAACCAAGACTCTTAATTGCTCTATTACATTTTTCTCTTCCTTTTGTGTTTTTCAGGATCTCAATACGGGAAAGAAGATTGGTGGGGGGCATGAGGCTGGTGGATTGTATTACCTTGACGGTGGTGGATCGTCAGTTGCAGTTCAGACTTCACTCACTCCTCTACTGTGGCATTGTCGACTGGGACATCCATCTCTCAAGGTAGTCAAGATACTGGTTCCGTCTTTGAGTCATTTGTTGTATTTACAGCGTGAGTCATGTTAGTATGGGAAACATCGTTGGGTTCCCTTCAGTCCTAGAGTTGATAGTTGTATGTTGAGTCCTTTTGCTTTGGTTCATTCAGATGTTTGGGTTTCGATTAAAATAGTCTTATAATGGTTACAAGTATTTTGTCACTTTTATTGATGATTGTTCAAGGATGACATGGATTTAATTAATGAAAGAAAGGAGTGAATTATTTTCCATTTGTCAAAAATTCCATGCTGAAATACGTACATAGTTTGGTGTTCCAATCAAAGTTCTTCGTTCAGATAACGGTCGTGAATACTTTCTTATTTCCTTTCAATAGTATTTAGAACAGCAAGGCATCATTCATCAAACTTCATGTGCATCCACTCCTCAACAAAATGAGGTGGCTGAATGAAAGAACCGTCATCTCCTTGAAACTGTTCGGTCTATTCTTCATCATATGAGTGTTCCTAAACGATTTTGGAGTGATGCTATACTTACTGCGTGTTTCCTTATTAATTGGGTGCCCTCCTTCATTCTTAATTGTCGGTCTCCCTTTTCTATTTTGTTCCCCACCTTGTCTCCCTTTCCATTAATACCCCTCATCTTTGGCTGTGTGTGCTTTGTTCCCAATTTGAGTCCTGGGATAGAAAAGTTGGATGCACGCTCTATTAAGTGTCTTTCTTGGCTACTCTCGGACTCAAAAAAGGGTATAAGTGTTACAATCCCATTACTCGGAAGTGCTATGTCTGTCCTGATGTCACCTTTTTTGAGTCTATCCCCTTCTTCTTGGGACCTGAAGCATCGGTGTCTCCACCTTTGTTTCCTCTTCCTCTTCTAGTCCGTGATCCCGTTCCGGTTGTTCCAGTTGGGGTTGACCCTTCACCTCCTCCAGTGCAGATCCCTACTGAACGACCACCGATCCGGCATGTGTATACTCATCGACAGAAACCGACTCCTCCTCCAGCTTCTACCTTGTTTGCGGATCCTGTTGTTGCTCCTGTCCCACAACCTTCAAGACTTGATCTTCCCATTGCTTTACAGAAAGGTAAACGTAGTTGTACCCTCCATCCCATTTCCAATTTTGTTTTAGTTTCTCGCCTTTCCGCTTCACGTTGCCAGTTTGTTTCACTGTTGTCATCTATTTCTATACCTAAGAATGTCCAAGAGGCTCTTAGCTCAGTTGGGTGGCGGCGGGCAATGGAGGAGGAACTCTCTGCCCTTCATCATACTCAAACGTGGGAGCACACTACTCTTCCTCCCGGTAAGCATGTTGTGGGTTGTAAATGGGTGTATACTGTTAAATACTTGCCGGATGGTAGTGTGGAGTGTCTGAAGGCCAGACTTGTTGCTAAAGGTTATTCACAGTTGTATGGGGTGGACTATATGGCGACCTTCTCTCCAGTGGCTAAGATTGGCTTTGTTCGTGTCTTAATTTCCCTGACAGTTATGTATGATTGGCCCTTGTTTCAACTTGACATTAAAAATGCCTTCCTTCATGGTGACCTTATGGAGGAGGTATATATGGAGCAACCACCTGGGTTTGTTGCTTAGGGGGAGGATGATAAGGT